GTGGTCTAACCATTGTCATCCGGTCACCTGCAGGATGAGATGCGATCATTACACTGAAGACCATCATAAAATTATATGGTCTTCAGTGTAATGATCGCATCCCATCCTGCAGGTGACCGGATATATATATATATATATATAGGCTATACATAGGCTACCAACTGCAGACTGAAACTTTTTGATCATCAGAGGATTTGACAACATTGTGCTGATGTGGTGTGTTGATTGATCTTTATTTACCCATTTCAAATTTCTTTAACACATTTCTGGCGTATGTTGTCTGGACAGTTCATTTTCAGTTTCTGGGTTCTGAACAATCTTCACTCAAAGAAAGTGTTTCAGCTAACTCATATCTATTATTTGAAAGCGATTCATTCACACATGGCTAAGATTAACACCTCCTTTCCATTTACGTGATTGCACAATCATGTTTCCGATCATGTTTTTTTCAAATGATCATCTAGGATGAAGTTCAAACATCTCGGCGCTGTGACAATAGGAACAATTGTTGTACGTTTGTTGTAGTGAGGAACAAAAAGAGAGAAGCACGCTCTGGGTAAACGCATGTGGAAATGTGTATAGGGGCTCTCAAGCTTAATAAAAAGAAAGTCAAGTTAGTTTCAGATTTCTGTCTTTGTGAATAGAAAAAAGACAGAACATAATAAAACATGGTGGCAGCATGGGCACTTTTAGATTGTTAGTTTACAAGTTGGAAGATGATTAAAGACCCCATCACCATTATGCATGGGCACGACAATCTATCCAAGTCCTGGAAATCCTGGAGGGACGAGTTTAATCTCTACTTGGAGTTAACTATGTCAGATGCGGAGGAAAAGATGAAGGTCAAATTGTTTTACTACCTTATCGGCGAGAGCGGTCAGGAACTGCTGGAAACTCTCTAGTGATGTAGCCGCGGATGCACGAACGTTAACGAACATTATTGCAAAGTTTGATGAGCACTGTAATCCCGTATAAACGAGACAGTAGAACGCTATCGATTCTTCTAAAAAAGCCAGGGAGCTGAACAGTCAATCGATAATTACGTCATGGAGTTACGAATGCTTGCTAAAACATGCAACTTTGGAGAAATCAAAGACTCACTCATACGCGACAGAATAGTATGCAGAATTAACAACGAAGGACTGAGAGAGAGACTGCTTCGTGAGAAAGATTTAACACTACAGACGTGCATACGTATATGCAGAGCAGCGGAGCTGTCGCGACAGAACAGCAAAGCCACTGCAGGTGCAGCAGTAGAAGAGGTGCATGCCGTCAGACAAGGAGCACGTCTATATCGCCATCCACCCGGCAGTATGATCACGTGCAGATTCTGTGGTAAAGAGCATGAAAAGAACAAACAGAAATGCCCAGCTTTTGGTAAGAAATGTAAAAAGTGTGGAAAGCCAAATCACTTTGCAGTTAAATGTAGAGCCCGGCTGAGACAAGGAAACCATAAATCAGTAAACAAAGTGACTGAACAGGACAGTGATGAGTATGAGGACAGCCTCACTGTGGGTGTAGCAAATCCAGAGACTGTAATCAAAAAAGAGAAAGACAATGAAAAGAAAACAGCTGTACGCAGGGATACTTTTGGGAAAGGACCTTGTGAAATTTCAGATTGACTGAGGAGCAAGCTGTAATGTAATTCCTATCAGTCTGCAGAGCCAAGATATAAAACTGGAGGATACAAAGACTGTGCTAATAATGTACAACCAAAGCAAAATGAGACCACTAGGAAAGTGCAAACTAAAAGTAAGAAACCTGAGAAACCACAAACTGTACAGGCTGGAATTCCAGGTGGTGGATAACAATTGTACTGTCCCCCTAATAGGGAAGAAAGCAAGTGAAGCTATGAAGCTCATCAAAGTGCATTACGAGAACATTTTTGCAATAGGCAGTATAGTTACCAAAGGAAAGTCCGCAACCAGCCAGTGGTCACTACAGCAGATAAAGACTGAATATGCTCATGTATTCCCGGGTGATGGCTGCCTGGAGGGAGAGTACAAAATTGAGATTGATAACACTGTAAAACCTGTACAGCTCCCAAAAAGAAGGGTTCTAGTGGCCATGATGGAACCTTTGAAGGAAGATTTGGATCAGTAGTATGGTGGTCGTACAGAAGCCCAGCGGCAGTCTCAGAGTATGTATAGATCCAAGACCTTTAAACAGAGCTTTAAAGCGCTGTCATTTCCAACTACCCACTATTGATGACATACTCCCTGAACTGTCAAAAGCCAAAGTGTTTACTGTGTGCGATGTTAAAAGTGGATTCTGGCACGTCAAGCTGGAGGAAGAATCCAGCTATCTCACCACATTCTCTTCCCCGTTCGGCAGGTATTGATGGCTGCATCCGGCCCCTGAAATCTTTCAGAGGAAGCTCACACTCGCATTAGAGGGCCTGCCAGGAATACACAGAGTTAGAGACAATTAACATGACACAACATGTACCAATCTCAGCGGACAGACTTGCGTTAATCTGTTCTGCGACAAAAGAGGACAAAACTTTGCAGACACTGATTAAAGCCATATTACAAGGTTGGCCAAAGAACAAGGCTGACACACCACAAGAAATAGGCCATTATTACCTGTTTCAAGAGGAGTTGAGCTACCAGGTTGGCATTGTTTTCAGAGGTGAACGAGCTGTTATCCCTAAGCAGCTTTGGAGGGCAATAACGCAATCTCATTTAGGTGTGGAAGGATGCCTGAGAGTGTGTGTACTGGCAAGGAATGAACGAGCAGATCAAATCATATGTACAGCAGTGTGACACCTGCCACGCAGTGGACTGTAACCAGCAAAAGGAGACACTGCGTACACATGATATGCCGGACAGACCTTGGGCCAAGGTAGGCATGGACCTGTTTACTTTTGACAACAAGGACTATCTAAGTACACTACTATTCCAATTTTGGGGAAATTGATTATCTGCCAGTCACCAAATCTACTACTGTCATAAGAAAGCTGAAAGGTCACTTCACCCGTCAGGGTATTCCAGACATCGTCATCTCTGACAATGGCCCACAGTTTTCGTCACAGGAGTTCCAGAAGTTCAGTCACCATTGGGCATTTCTGCACAAAACCTCATCACCTGGCTATCCTCAGAGTAATGGCAAGGCAGAATCAGCAGTCAAAACTGCCAAGTGATTGATTCTTAAAGCACAAATGTCAAGACAGGATCCATATTTAGCAATCCTAGATCATAGAAACACACCAACACATGGATTGTCAACCAGCCCAGCACAGAGGCTACTGAGCCGTCGCACAAAGACACTTCTACCCACGAAAACCAGCCTCCTGCAACCAAAGATTCAGAATTATTTGAGAGAATTGACAACAAATCAACAACGGCAACAAACATACTACAACAGATCAGCCAAAGACTTAGAGACACTAAAACAAGGTGACCCTGTGAGAATACAACCATTTGAGCCTCATAAGTTCTGGAGAAAGGGGACAGCGGTGGAGCCCATCGACTCAGGATCCTACAGTGTCCAGTTGGATTCTGGAGGCGTTATAAGGAGGAACAGGAGACATCTCCGAAGGGAACAGCGAATGACCCCCAGAGTCTCTAACCAAAGAGAGACTACTGCTCCTGATAATACAAAACATGCAGGAACTGCAGATGCTCAATCGCAAACATCCAACAATGTGGAAAATCAGATGCAGAACACCAAACAGACAGACATCCCAGCATCTGTTGTCACGAAAGCAGGACTTTTGATAAAGAAACCTCAATACTTAAAAGACTATATCACATGAGAAAAAAAAAGAAGAAGAAATGTGAAACTGTTCTAATGGAAATGTGAAATTAATATACATAAGTTATAAGGAAATGTATTGAAATTAATATACATAAGTTATAAGGAAATGTATTGTTTTCTGTTTGTACCAGAAATTAAGAGTTGTTCGGAATGCTAGTTATATGTAGCAAGTTATAAAAAAAAGAGATAGAGAGAGAAAGGACTTTATTAGTACTTTCATTTTACTGTATACAGATATATAGACTCTATATGCTATATACTTCTATTCTTATGTATATTTGTGTTAAATGTCTATTTAAATGTTTCTATGCTTTGGCAATGTAAAGATACTTTTTTACCATGCCAATAAAGCTACTTGAATCTGAATCTGAATCTGAAAGGATGTGACAATAGGAACAATTGTTGTACTCTTAATAAAAAGAAAGTCAAGGTAGTTTCAGATTTCTGTCTTTGTGAATAGAAAAAAGACGCATAAAACAGGTGCTTTCTTTAGGATGTAAATGCTTGATTCAGATTGCAGACAAAATGTGATTTGTCTTTGCCAACAAAATACTGTATGATGAACATCTTCTATTCATTTCTCTATTGGAAGGCTAGTTTATATCCAACTGATGCAGCTTTAATCCTAATTGTTTAAAATTTGACCATATCTCATCAAAATGTCCTCATCTGCATCAGGCTTATATCTCAATGGTAGAGCACGTTTACATGTTGAAGATCGTGAGGTTGATATCCTTTAGTTTGTGTTCCAAAACCTACAAATATGCACTACTTTGGAATGTAGTCTTTTTCGTCATCTTTGGGTTCATGAGCATGCACATTTACCTGCAGTTCAATCTGATCTCCATCAGAGCGGTTTAGTTCCAGTCTTGTAAATATATATGATATGAACACGTGTAATTTAGGCTTTGATTAACATCTAAACAATGATCGACACACACATCACATATGATAAACATGTGAGTGTAATGCATGAGAGCCAAAAGGGTTTGTTCTAGCATGTGATGCGCACCCACAAGCTTCCATGTTTATCATATGTGATGTGCTCTATGTATCTACGTTTATATGCAAAATATATGTGAAACGTTTATATTAAATCTGTAACAGCAATGTTTTATGCATATTGATTTTTCTCATTCTCTACGTCAAATTGATTTACCAATCACATGCTCTTGTTGTTCTTCAAATTAAAACAGCTGAATAGAACTAAAATCTTGCTTTTCTATCATTGTGTTTCACAGGAAACGGTAGAATATGCCTTCCTGATCATTTTCACGATTGAAACCTTCCTCAAGATCATAGCTTATGGACTTGTGATGCACCAGAACTCCTATGTGAGAAACGGCTGGAATATGTTGGATTTTGTCATCGTCATAGTAGGGTAAGTGAACAGTCACACACATCTGCGCGCGCACACACACACACGCACATCAAAATGCATCAAATAATAGTATATTCTATCGCCCTACGCCAACCCTACACCCAAACCTACCCCTTACAGAAAACTTTCTGCATTTTTACAATTTAAAAAAAAATTTGGTTTACTTTATTTTTAAACCAGTTTTACAAATGAGGACGTCCCCAAAGGGAGGTTTTTGGAGATTTTGTCAGGTTTAGCTCACTTTTGGGTACAAATTTTTCCCCAAATTATGGCTAAGTAGGTACACACACACACACACAGGTTTGTTTTTGTGAAAAGTGGGGACATGGGGTAATGTCCTGAAAAGTCACCTTCTCCTTGTAATACCTATGTCATACCCTTGTCATTATACAAATTTATGTCCTCATTTGTCATAAAAACGCACACACACACACACTCACACACACACACACACACACACACACACACACACACGCATGTTTGATTTTATATTCCTTTGTCCTGTAATATTTTTGAACACTTAATTGTATGTTATTTTCAATGAAATGAAAAAGCATTCAATGCATTTAGCTGAACTGCTTTTTTAACCCACTTAAGTAGGACTTAAGCATATCTTTATATGTCATTTCATTATTACAACTCGTCTTTGAAGTATGAGTAAAGTGTACTGCCAAATGTACTGACAAGCTTTTATGGTAAATGTAAAATTGAAACTTGTATTTTGTGTATTTAAATATATTCGAAATAATGTTGCAATTCAGTAAAATGTATTACCTTTAAATGTAACATCAGATAACATGATATAGTTGCAATTTTAATCAAACACTTCACATGTGCTTTATGTTAGTCAACACAGCAAAATAAGTGTACTTCTTTAAAGCATGTCAAATGATGAAGTCATAATGAATTAACTATACTTTCAAGTAAAATTGACATTAATACAAAGTACTTAAATGTGTGCTAAGAAACAAGTATACTGTCTTTAAATACACTTAAGTGGCATTTTATTTAATTGATATTATATTATCTGCAAGTACAGTTTTAAATAATATTCTCTAAGATTTGAAGTACACTACAAGTGCACATTTAATATAATTAAGCACTTTTTTCACAAGCATATAACGTCCTTTAAACAGTGAACATTTGTGATGTGTCCAAAAGACGTAACTCGCAGATACACAATAAATGAATGTAATCCAAAATACTTGTCAAATAAACAGACTCTTCAAGACAGCTCAAGAATAATGACTTTTCAAACAGAAGTCTACTGGGAATTGCAGAGACATTTGTCTGTATCTTAATACCAGCTTTGCAGAGTTTCACAGATGTGATGGTTCAGATGGTCCCTTGCTTCTGAACTTCCTCAACATTGTGATTGTGCAAAAATTTGATTACTGTTTTGTGACGTGACACTTCCTGTGCTCATTAAAACAATCACAGGGTTTTGTGCTAAAGTACGGCACTCTAAAGTGATGCAGTTGCCTGGTGAACAACACATCAACTTGACCATTTATAGTGACAGCAAACATAGCAATGAAAAATCAATGTACAAATTTACAAAATGAGTGTGTATATATTCATATATATATATATATATATATATACTGTATATAATGTTACTGTAAAATATGGTAAAACTGGTGCTTTTTGGAAGTTATATGTATGAATTACTATATAGTTTACAGTTTAAATCTATATACTATCAAGAAGAAAAATGCATGCACTTATAAAAAATGACTTATTAAAATCTTTATATATATATATATATATATATATATATATATCAATCTTATAATTTATAGTAAAATACAGTAAAAGCATATTCCTAAAAGTTATTGTGTGATGCATCACATATGATTGACATTTTATTTAAATTACTTTTTTTATTTTAGTTATCAGTTTAACAGTTTATATTTTCTTTTATTTCATCAATATATTTATAGCATTAATTTAGTGTCACATGTGTTACCCTGATGGTTTTTGTATGTAGGACCTTGAGCACCATATATAATTTATATAATTATTTATAATTTATGTAATATAAATGAGTCTATATGTGAGTACGGGCCATGTTTTATGGACTTTGTTCAGTTTTACCACCTGTATTATTCAATGGATAGTTCATACAAAAATGAAATTTCTGTCATCATTTACTCAATGTCATGTTGTTTGTTTGTTTGTTTTGTTTATTTATATAGCACAATACAGCAACAGTCGTTGACCATTGTGCTGTACAAGAAATTATAAAATCAAATTAATAAAACACCAATCAAAACAATAAAACAACATAAAAGTCATATGGTACAGGAGGTAGTACATACAGAGGACAACAGAGACATGCTCAGGACGACTCAGATGTTAAAAGCCTTTTCTAAAAGGTGAGTTTTAAGCTTTACTTTAAACAGAGATTCTGAAGAGATTATCCTAATAGATAAAGGTACACTATTCCACAATTTGGGGCCGACTATGGGAAAAGCCCGGTCTCCCTTTCTTTTTAACCTTGATCTAGGAACCTTTGAACTTGAACCAGTTTAGTGCATGACCTCTAATACCTGCACAATATTCAAGACTAGAGATAAGAAGGTCATGATCGACCGTATCAAAAGCTGACTCAAATCCAACAGCAAAAGTATTACAGAGTTCCCAGAATCAACAGATAATAAAATATAATTTGACACTCTTAAGAGAGCAGATTCTGTACTGTGATGTTTCCTAAAACCAGACTGCAAAGATTCAAAAACTCCATTTGCGTCTAAAAAATGTAATAATTGGACAGAAACTACCTTCTCAAGGATTTTAGAGATAAAAGGAAGATTAGAAATTGGCCTAAAATTTGAGAGAACTGTCACATCGAGATTAGATTTTTT